GACAGGCACCCTCCCTATCTCTCAGAGCTAATAAAATTATAGAAGGCATTATTTTATTTCATCTGCAGTAAGTGTTGCAAAGGTGCACTGGGAACAGATGAAAGTTCCGGGAGAACTGAATGCGGCAGCTTATCATAAAGGCATACGGCATATCTACGTTTAATACGAATCAGCCGGTACTAAAGGAGGTCTAAACATTTTTTATTTAAAACACTAAATCGGATCCCTAAGAAAACTGAGGCCCAGAAAAGTTCGGTGACTTGTAGTGTGCTGTTAGAAAAGCCAATATTGGCATTTAAACCTGAATTATATTCAGCGTTCTTTTCTAAACTATGCTAACTCCCATAAAACACACACATACACATACATGCACACATGTATCTATACTTATATATACAGGCAGATGATATGTAACTTAAATGATTCAAAGGTACATTTTATGGACTATGAGTGCATTTAAATTTTGGATTGCACCCATACATGAAGAACACATTGTCTATCATTCCAGCTCTTCACCTATGTCATCATAGGCCACCCCAATTCTTTTCTGGAAACAGTGACTCGCAGCCTTTCCTCTGAGGTGGGCCATGCAGAAAACCCGTATTTATGGGTACCGACAGTGCCCCCTCTTCACTGTAACGCTCTCCTGGAAACTATTGAACAGCAGCTCACCAAACAGCAGGTTTAATTTCCCCAATAATGCCATCATTGGTCCTTTGTTGGTAAACAAAGATGCTGCGTCAACCCAGGACTGAGGTTCCAAACAATCTCGCCGTCTGACCAGTGACGCTCAGACCTGCAGATAACAAACCAGTCAAAGCCAGGACCAACAGGAGGTCTGAAAAGCACAGGTACAGCCATCGATGTACTAACATTTAGGGTTAGTACATCATGCTTACTTCCCTAGCAAAACAGTCATAAATACCTTGTGGCCGTTGATCATTGCAAGGCTCTCCATATGCTATAAATAACACATACAGAACATTCAATGGTTGACAATTTGCTTACGGAGACAATGAGAAAGTAAATGGGGTTTGGGACCAGCTGCATGGAGTGTGAATCTTGACGTCATCACTTCTAGCCAGATCACCTGGAGAAGTTATATAATCTCTTCTGAGGCTTGTTTTCGTCCTCAGTAAAGTGGGAATGCTACCTACAGAAAGGGAATATTATGAGGATTAAAGAGAGTGAAGAATACAAAACACCTAGCACAGGGCCTAGGTATTGTTGATACTCAATAAATATTAAGTGGCCTACCTCTGCCTTTTCTCTTAATTTATCAAATATAGCAAACTGAACGATGGTTCGAATGACTCAGATCTCTGAGAATAACTACTTTGATCATTTTGAATGTTTCCTGGGAATATTTTTTAAAAACACTAAGCCAGTTGTTTTTATTTCAAATAACCCCTAATAGTACCTCAAGTTTTTATAGTGCATAGTTAAGCAAAACATAATCTGATAGGAATATACTATTTATTTGAAAAGCAAAACAAAAATCTATCTTATTGAGAAGGGAAAAATACATGTCTCAAATCTAGGCCCAGATTGGAGCCAAGCCAGGAAAATCGCAGCATAGATTATATATTTGCCATGGATTTAGGATGATTAGAATATGAAATAAGGGAAACTCCTGCCAGGCCAGGACAGGGAGTGGTACATATAAACCAGAGGTAAGGGTGGGAGGCAGGTGGAAACACTTCAAAAGGCTTGAGAGATAGCAGAACAGGGGGTGGATCCTGGGAAGTGGCAGGGAAGGCCTGAGCCTCACAGTTGGCAAGGCACATGGCTCTCCTGCCCACAGGGCAGATCAGTAGAAGAGCAGTGCCCCAAGGAGGTGCCTGGGGGTGAGGGTGGAGGTGGGAGTTGGGGGAACTCTGGTCACCTCAGTTTAGTGAGAGTTTCCAGGGCCCCACAGGCAAATGTGGAAGAGCTGAATGGTTTGACAGCCCAGAAGGACTGTGGCTGGGCTGGGAATGCCCTAGATTGCAGACATCTCCCAATCAGAGTCCACAGGCGTCAATGGATGTCAGTAGTGGATGCCAGTGCCACACCCACAAACCAGGTGGCGGGAGTCACATCCAGCTGAGGGCAGTGGAGGGTGCCCAGGTCTGGGGTCAAGAAAGCTCAGTGAGGTTCTGGATTCCAGCCCACGGCTTTGATATCCCTCACTCCCCAAACCAATGATGCCATACCTCCCCCACCCCCACCCCGACCCCATCCCCAGGTGCCATTGCAGGAGGAAGGGGAATGGAGAACCCAGAGTGAGGAATAGTCCTGAGATGGCATTTAAATTATGCATTGCTTCATTTTGTACCTGGAGTGGAAAAAATAAGTCCCAAATTTTAAAAGAAAATTAAATTTGTGTGCCTAATTTTTTTTTTTTTGGAAGAGAGGAAGACTCAGAAAGAAAATTGAATTATATTAGAAAAATAAATAAATTTGCATACTAGTATCTGCCCTTTTGATTTCTTGAGTGTGATGTTTATGCCTGCTTTAAACACAGGCCTTCACCTTTCCTCATGATCAGCAG